GAACAATTCAAGGAAGTAAATTGAAGGAAGTAAATGGCTGATTAAGCAAAGTGGGAAAGCATTAGCCCTGTCCAGTGAAGGCTGAAATATTACCCAGAGCACTGTTGGCAACCTATACAGACAAGGATATTGACACAGACAGACATTTACAATCCGTCTCATTTGTTTCACTCAAGGGATTTGTTAAAGTCAAAGTTTAGATTTACAGTCAATTTCTAAATAGTATATTTGCTGTGGGTATCTTACTTCTCTGTTTCAATTCCAAAGCCAACCAAACACTTAAATAAAATAAAAATGTCAATCTTTTTAGTATGAAATTCATCTCCCAACTGAGAATCTTTCATTTAATACAATAATAAATGAAGTTAAATTACTTTATTTTGTTTTACTGCGGAAATACAATTGCATGTTTTAAAGAGTATATAACTAAATAACAATGTTGGAAACATTCCCCAGCTTCTCGCTCCTTACCAGGTTTGATGCAGACGCCTCAGCGAATGACAGTCCTCTGGGGATGATAAGGATGTGGTCTTGCTCCTTACTGACTCGAGCCTGAGACAAGAAAAAGTCAAATCACTTTTTTGTTGAGGCAAATTGACTGAAATCTGAAGGGAATGGACTTTAACTGAAAAAAACCCACAGCCCTTATTAAGGATAGACTGTTCTTATTCTTCCTTCTACTGAGCAGTGAAACTGTACCGGACAAAACTCAAGTGAGCGTTAAGTCAAAAGGAAATTGGGCTTTTGTTTACTGGCATGCTTCAAAGTAAGATGGAAATCTACTCTTACTCGTTTTTCACAAGGTTCGCGGCCGCTGTAAGTTCTCCTACATGCTTGGAAGGTGAGCTGTATTCAGTTGGTTGCAGTCTGCAACTTCACTGCTAGAAATACTACACACTGGTCCTTTAAATGTCATCGAATCAATCAGCATATACTATACCCATTGTTATTGCCTTCAGAAACTATTGCTGTGTCCAAAATACCTTCTCTATGGACTGAGCTACTGCTGACCCTGTAGTAATAGTAGTGGTAGTAAAATGGGAATTGAGACACAGCCCGTTAACGTCAAAAGAAGAAGCCCTTACTGTGATGTAGGAATTGGCGAAGTGGGCCCAGCTGAACAGGTCCACCAGTCTGTAAAGGCTGGCCAGTTTACAGCGCGTCAGCTTCTCGCCTTTCACCATCGTGGTGGTTTCCACTCCGTACATATCGTTGATGGGAGTGACCATCCCCAGACCTAAACAATGGTATAATCAAGGTTACATCAAGGTGAATGAACGGAATATACATGAAAGAAAAATGCTATTTGCAGAGTGTTTGCTAATAAAGTTGTTTAAAAGTGTTTTTTGTTCATTTGTATCCTCTCCTCCTAACAACGCCAACGACAGACACACAGGAACACTGTCTTTTTAACTAATGATGCGTGTGACAAATCTGGTTCCACACGAGTCCTACTTTCCACACTGTGGTGACGTAATTAACACTCCTACAACCTTTAATACTTTGTTTACTCCCTACGCTTCCTTGGACTTACTTAAGGGTATATTTTAAGGAATAGCTAAACTGAGCTGCTACATTGCTTTTGACGTGTAATTCAGCATTAGTTGTGCATTCCAACGCAGTGATTGGAAGCAGACTTCACATATGGACTCCTGGACACAACTCACAAAAGGATCAGACCCAGAGAAATATGCGTAGCTCTTCCGGAGTCTGGGGTTGGGTTGTCTCAGGGTATTTGTGCCCTTAAGCGCAAATAAGCTCATGTTTGGGTATGAATCTCCTCTCTTCAAATGCCGATGCCGTGTTGTGTTTTTTTCTGTACAGTTCAAAGCAGTTGCATCCTGGGCAAGGGTGGCCCATCCCTTCTAAATGTTAGTGTCTGGTTGCCCTGGGTAACGGGCCACAGTGCTGTGAGTACTCACTGAGGGGGGAGGTGTTGAAGCCTGCCACTGAGCTGGCCATGAAGAAGTCAGCGATCTGTCTGAGGGCCAGTAGGCCAGTGGGGTTGTTCCCCTTGCGCTGCTGCTCCTGGATCAGGCTCTCCAACTCCTCCTTGAAGGCCTGGAAGAGAAGAAGAGGAAATAATGTGACTCTGACACGCCGCAATGTCTAAAAAAACTAGAAACTGAAACCTCAGATTAAATGCAGATGGGAAAGCATTTCTTTCACTAATAATTTTAAAAACCATATGTAAAGACTGAAAATGAATAATATCCAAACAGCGTCAGGAACAAGCTTTTGGGAACTTTACTTTGAATCACAAGACTGGATACCTCAATCAGGTGATTTTCAATGAAGAGAAAAATCATTTATTTCACTTTGAGGATGGAGTTTCAGGCACATTAACTTTCTTGAACTGTAATGAAACTTTAGAAAAATGGCAGGGTAAAGATAATGATGGGACAGATTAGACTAGTGGAAGGAGAGAGTGCAGGGGATTAGTGGTGACAGAGGGATGAAAGACTAAATAGATGTGGGAACATTAAGAGAGACAGGAAGAGTGGGGATGAGGAGAGGAAGAACGAAGGAGACGTGTTAATCACAGATTAGACATGCTCCTCGGGTGTCAATCTGAATAGTCCTCAAATGAAGCTCTATGAAGCTGGATCAGGATTGGCTGGGAAGCCAACACGCTGAGTCAGGATTGGCTGTCTGGCTTACTTGAAGCCTGCGTTACGATAGGCTGCTTGGTGTGTGAGAGAGAGTGTGTGTGGCTAATCCTTATGTCCAGACTACAGTCATCCGTTGAATCCACAGACACAATACAGTAAATGCTAACATGCTCTTATGCAAAAACAGATACACACACAGCTGGCTGCATTACATCATATAAAGTACTGTATGATTTTATGTTTTCACTTTTCTTCAAAGGAAATGTTCTTCATCATGCAAAAGCTCATAAGTCAAATGTTCAATCAAAAAGAAATCACAAGATACTTCAGTACAAATAAGGATCATGACAGAAAGTGTCAGGGACAGTTTAGATGTTATAATGTTATAATAAAAGGCCATGTAGCTATTGCATATGGGTTATATTAATACAGTCAAACACAGGCTGCAGAGGGGAACAGCAGACAAGCTAATACTGTATGTATAGCTGCTCATAATCTTAATAAGGTTGTTAACCTCTCAGGGGGCACAGTCACCTTTCCCTGTCGGCTAATGTAATCATGTAATTAAAGCTGCAACCAGTACAAAATATGTTTTTTGTTTGGGTTGTTTTTTTTCACAATAAAGGTCAACACTGTACTATGAAGCAGAATTTACTCTGTTGAGCTGGTATTGCCTGTGCAGATTGTCATCCATTAGTTTTTTAAGTTTGTCTGTAGTCATTTGACACATGGTCAGTTCCAATGCAGCATCAAGCAGAAGCATTGGTCCCATGTTTACCTTCAGTTTTCTGTGCTATGTGCGCTGATTTTATACAAACACCTTCCATCATCATACATTTTTTTTTTTTCTGCTTCTGTCATTATAAATAAATAAATACAAATCGACTGGCTCGACTAAAATTCTACCATCTGCGCCATCTCACTGTACAAGATGATATAAATGTTTTCCAGCCTTGGTTCTGAGTCAGCCATTAAGAAAACACTTTCCTGACAGTTTGGATTTTTTTTTGTCTGTATGTATAATCTGACTCAGACTTTCTTGTGTCTCATTATTGGATTTTGACTATTATTTTCCTGAACATTTTAATTATGTTTTCTCCATCTGGTCCACCATCCTAACCTCTATCCTGCATTTAGGGAATTTTACCAGTTTAAATGAATGGCCCTCAAAGCTCTATGAACTGATTCATCACAATCCTGGTGTTTGGTGTGTACCTCCTGCAGGTACACACAGTTTCTGCACTACTCTTTGCCATAATTTATGTTATATAATATTAGCTTAAGGGTTATATTTATCATTTAAAAAGACATACAGACTATTAGCTGCAGTATTTTTCAACATTGGATCTGGTCTTGACTCTAAATTGACATCATCTCATCAGTGCGACTTACTAGGGAAATTTTAAACCAGTGATGGAAATCTGTGGCAAAATAAGCACAGTCTGGGAGTGAAACTGGGACACTGTTGCATGCGATGACACCTCTAGCATGCCAATATTCAATACATCCAATATTCATGCCATCATTTCATCTCAGTGCTTCAGCAACAATCAACACATTCCCAATAGATCTGCATCCGTGCACAAATAAATCTCTGACACTTAACTTCCCCTTGTCTCTGCCCCCAACATCCCCTCAAGTCACCCCATGGGACGGTCCATTAGTGGTATGCGAATGGAGCCTTTGGTTTTATGCCCATGTGGGGGTGTTTTGTTAAAAGTGGAGCAACCCCCCCATGTCAGGACACACACAGTCCCGGAGCACCGCTGGTTCTGAACCCAAGCCAGACATTCCTCCGTCCCTAGTGGCAAGGTTGCTGTGGCAACCGGCCTGTTGCGGATGTCTGACAGTGGTGGGTCAGGGCTTTTTGTTTTCTGTTGCTGTCATTGTTTTGTGCATTTGTCTTTCAAAGATTGTTGTGCCATCACATTGACATTGGAGCCAGAGAGCTAAAGAACCAGAGCTCAGACACTTGACCCTCTGGCAGATTCCGTGTTCCTGACTCGACTAGAAGGGTCTTTGTTTTGGGTCTGTGGAAAATTGTCGCTAGCTTGACACTGGTGGTTCTTATAAAATGACAACTAACAATAACGAAAATCACATTGAACCTGCATTAATGGATTTTTTGGCCAACACAACACTGACATTTCATGTTTTAAGTTGATATGTTTAACTTGTCAGCTGACAGTTGACTATTTACACATCCAGCAGATGACAAAACAATATTATCAATCATTTTGATTGTAAGCCTTTAAGCTCTGTTTGAGGGGAATTCCTGGCTCTTTAGCTGTTAAATGCTCCACCGTGTTCACCAGCTAACTGCTAACATTTGTTTGTATGTAGTCTGGTGCGGGTCAGGTAGTGTGGAGTGGGGCTTTAGGAGCTTTTTGCTGAAAACATCTGCCTGCTATGGCTGAAAATGACACTGTGCAAGAGGTGAGAGGGAACCAAAACAGTAAAGTTGTGGGCCAAAAAAAAAAAAAGCTACACTACTATCTGGACTTTATCCCTACGAGTGATGTTTTGTGGCATTTTGGAATGAAACCTATTAGAAAACATGTGAGCAGAATAACACACACATCCACAAACACACACACACCAGCAGGCATCTGCTCTACAATTTGTGTGTGTGTGTGTGTGTGTGTGTGTGTGTGTGTGTGTATGTTCCCAAGAAGATTATAACAGCAGGGATTTGATTCCCATCATCTAAACAGATTAATCCTGAGGCCTAATGTGGATCATTAATATTTCAGTACAACCCCTACATCTGCATAAAAAAACAAAAAACATCACACATCAAGTGTGTTTTTTAGCTGTGGTGGCGTGACTGCTCAACTCTGATAACACTCCCACTTAAAACCAAAGAAACTTTACATTACATTACATTACATCATTGCACTTACAGCACATTCAGCTCTGGAGTATAAATAACACAAATATCCATCCTCTACCATGCCAGATTAAAATCACTGACAGGCAACCAGGCTAAGCAGGTCCTGCCACTTATTGGAGGAAAAAATGTGATCCAATCAGAGAAATGAAGAAGTGTTTTCCATGACTGCTGCAAAATGGCAAAAGTTAATCTTACAAAATGGAACTGTAGCGGTCTAGTGTATTAAGTTGATATGCAGATTGGAGCTTGGCCAGCTCTTCAGTGGAAGAGCCTGAGACTGGGGAGAAAAGTATAACATGGCCACTTGATTTCAGAAATCAAACACTGGTTTGTCTGAGACTGACATGGAAATGTTTCTGACATCTGCTCGTAAAGGTGAGAATGTGCTGGTTTGTGCTGAGAAACAGTCTCTTTGTTTCTTTCACAGGTCAGTCTGGATGAGCTGCGAGGAGTCATGCCTTACTTAACGACATTACATCAGGTCAGACCAAAATAAATTTTCACATGAAATTTTTAGATCATCAGGGTCAAACTCTCCACGGGACAATAGAAACTTTAATATCAATTCTTACTATAACAGGATGTTTCTAGTCTTCCAAGAAAGCTTGTGTCATACAACTTCCAGAGACATTTCCTTTTGTTGCGATTCCCTTGTTTGTGGTTCAGTTATTGGTACAGATGACACTTTTGTACGTCATCCTGTGGGAAAGGAAGGCCGAACTTTTTATGACTTAGTTGCAAGGCCGATCCTGCACGTCTGTGCTTGTGCACTGATCAAAGAAGTGTGTGTCTCTCCTGATGGTTTCAGCATTACCTCATACACACTATCCTCATGTGAAATGAAACTATTGTGGTTTGATCCAACTCAGTACAGCAGAGTTTAATTAAGTGCATTTAAAAAATCTGGTTGTTGTTAAGCAACCAAAGCTTGAAACAACAATCACAAGCAGCTTGTATTGGACAGAACCTAAATAGGCTATTTTAACTAAATATACAATGTCAATGTATGCTTCCTTACAAGTGTGAAGAGGTAAGACTGTGTTTTGGGGTCATTTCCTGCATCAGGTTCGGATTACGTTCTCACACATACAAAACTGCATCACAGTTCACCTGGAAGAACACAGTGGCCTGCATTTTCTGCAGTCTCATTGTGATGGCATCCAAGCTCAAATTGCACTAATCCCAACTGGCTGAATGAACCAAACTAAAGGAGTAACCTCAACAGAGTTGGAATCAAACATACTTGGCAGGAAAAGATTCTTACGTACACAAACATAAGTGCAAAGATAGATAAAAGGCAAACACACACACACACACACACACATTATAGACATGCACAGGCCAGGTGAGGCCTGTAATTTCAGCCACAGCCTCCCCAGTTATATCAGCACAATGCTGTTCTTTCAAGCTGACAACGTGACAGTGTTACAAAGTAGGGGAGTGCCTGTCTGCAAGCATGCCAATGCTATTGATTCCCCCCGTCTCACCTCAGAGTGTGCGTCAGTGAAATTGGTCCCCGACTGCGGCTGCAACTGCTCCCTACTCTGCATAAACTC